TTTCCCTAGAAATGATCAGTTCCGTGAATAGCAATGCATTAAAGATAGCGGCTGAAAAGCAAAAAGATCAAAAACACTCATACAGAGAGACATAAACTGCTAACCTTAGTGTCCATACAACTCTACACTCTCATGCTCTTCTGTATACGACAACTGAATATTTGTATATTTATAATATTCATCCATACACAAGCAGTGCAAGAACTGATAAAAATGGTGAAAAATACCAGTGCTTTTTGACTAAACTGCTACTTGATCAGTCCTAAGGCTGTAAACTTACGGAAATCGCTACTAAATGCATGATTCATGAACTTTAATATTCATATCAAAGCAAGATGAAAAAAAGAGAGGAAGTGATTGAAAATATTGTGATTTGAGTGAGAAATGTGGAATTTTGCTTAGGGTTTTAGAGAGAGAAATCGGGTATCTTCATTATCTGTACAACAACAAAATGAACCAACCGACTTACAAGATCTGTTCTCCCGGTATTTGTATCTGGGCCTTTAGCTCTTTACAAAATTAGCCTAACTACTAAAATGGCTCAAATAGCCAACTTGACAAATTAAATAAAAGACACAATATAAAATGGCTAATACAATGCAACAACAATAACAACAACCCAGTATAATCCCACTTAGTGGGGTCTGAGGAGGGTAGTGTGTACGCAGACCTTACCCCTACCCTAGGGCAGAGAGGCTGTTTCCAATAGACCCTCGACATCCTTCCCTCCAAGAACTTCCCACCTTGCTCTTGGGGAGACTCGAACTCGCAACCTCTTGGTTGGAAGTGGGGGTTTCTTACCATCAGAGCAACCCCTCTTGTCGGCTAATACAATGCAAATGACTAACTATTTATTCTTCGGCTTATTATCCAAATACTCCATTAGCTCAACACCCCCCCCCCCTCAAGTTGGAGGGGGAGACCACCTTCAACTTGAACAAGAGATCATGGTGAACTGCACCTGGAAGGGGTTTAGTGAGAACATCGGCCAACTGGTCAGAAGAAGCCACATGAGAAAGCTGAATCCACTACAAGAAAATGGGCCTTTCATGAAGGGAAATTCGGTCGTTAAAAGTCCAAATTCGGTCTTTATTAGTCAATTACGACCGGAAAAATACGGTCGTCATCAATCGTTAAAAGCGCCGTCATTAAAAGTCCACGACCGGATCCTACTCCAGTCGTTAAAACCCCTTTAGTGACAACAAGAAATCCGGTCTTTATATCTCCTTCTAGTGACTGCCATTTCCCTTTGCTATTTGTCATTTCGATCGTAAAAAGTTTCAACGACGGCGGCTACTTCGGTCGTTTTCATATATATATATATATATATATAGACTTATAAAAATGTACAAAATAGTCAATGTTCATATAAAACATCATTATTTAATAACAAAGAACTAAAGAGTTACATTACAAAAAGTATACATATCCAAATTGTGTGATATTATTATTTTTTCCTGAGAGAAAATAAAAATGAAATTGTCAGATGTACAAATGGCAACATCTGTAAACAACCGCTAGAAAAATAAAGTTAGTTCTTCTTGTACTTCCACTTGTTCTTTCAACTTCAACTCGCTTTACACTATCTCAAAGATGATTCTTCATGACTTCTTGATCTGTTCAAAGAATAAATTCATGTTAGTTTAGCAAGCAAACTACTACTAGCTACTTTTGTTTAGGACATAAATGAGTATTTAAGATTGTTAGGCTGCAAACACTATAGGATGTAAAAATATATTTTATAGCGTTATGAATTGCTAGAACTTCTTACACTAATATCATTAAATCAAACAATAAAAGTATCACTAAATCTATAACGGTGACGACCCGACCCGTCGTCTCATGAGTTACCGCTCCGTTTCCCCCATTTCTGTTTCTTTATGCTTCATTGTCCGTGTCTTATGTGATCGAATTGGTTTGGAGTAGTTTTGGTAGGAAATGAGACACTTAGTCTCTTTAAGGAAGGTTTAGTTTGGAAAAGTCAATCGGATGTTGACATATCTGTTAGAGGGCTCGGATGTGATTTTCGATGGTTCGGTTAGCTTCGGGGGATGATTTGTGACTTAGGAGTGTGATCGAAAGTGGTTTTGGAGGCCCGATGTAGAATTAGGCTTGAATTGGCGAAGTTAGTATTTTGGCGATTTTCGGTTGATAGGTAAGATTTTGATCCAATGATTGGAATGGAATTCCGAGAGTTGCTGTAGCTTCATTATGTGGTTTGGGATGTGTGTGTAAAATTTCAGGTCATTCGGAGGTGATTTGGTTGGGTTTTTGATCAAAATCGTATTTCGGAAGTTTTAGAAGAACTTAGGCTTGAATTCGATGTAATTTGATGGTTTTGATGTTGTTTGAGGTGTTTTGATGATTGGAACAAGTTTGAATGATGTTTTAGGATACGTTGGTGCTTTTGATTGAGGTCCTGGGGGCCTCGGGTGAGTTTCGGATGGTCTAACGGGAAGTTTTGAGCCTTGGAGATTGCAGAAAATGCAGCAGTTATTGCAGAGAATTTTTACTCTTCGCGATCGCGGGAGGTCCCTCGCGATCGCATAGAAGGAATTTGGGTGGCCTGAGTTTCCTCTTCGCGTTCGCAGCCAGGGGCACGCGTTCGCATAGTTCTGGAAGCTGGTGTTCCGCATTCGCACAAGGATGTCTGCATTCGCGTAGAAGGAGTTGGGGGTCCAGTGATTTTATTCTTCGCGTTCGGATATGTTGAGTCGCGTTTGTGTAAGAGGGAAAGCTGAATCATCGTGTTCGCAGTCGTTTGGTTGCGTTCGCATAGACCATTTTCGAGGCTTGGAAAAATTTGCCTTCGCGAACGCGAGCCTGGGGCCGCGATCGCATAGAAGGAAGTCAGTAGCTGGGTAGAAGGGTTTTTAAACATTTCATCCGCGAGACTAAGTCATTTTTCCACCATTGTTGAGTATTTTGAGAGCTCCTTGGGAGAAATTGAAGAGGGATTCGAAGAGGATTGATTACAGGTAAGTTTTATGAACCAAAAATGTGATTATATTGTGAAATTAACCTAGAAATTCATGGAAATTTAGTAAAAAAGGGAAGAACTAGGGCTTGGGATTTTGAAATTTGAAATTGGGATTTGAGGGGCCATTGAGGTAGGATTTTAGAGTTTTCGATATGTATGAACTCGTGGCGAGATAAGGAACCTGTTGATGTAAAAATTTTCGAGTTTTGAGAAGCGGGTCCGAGGCTCGAATTTTGCCAATTTCTGGATTTTTGATATTTTCGATTGTTTTCGCTTGGATTTTATTCCCTTAGCCTATTGTAACATATTCGTTCTGGTTTTGGTCAGACTCGACGCGCGAGGAGGCCGATTTGAGGGGCAAGGGCATAGCGAGCTAGAGCTTTTGCTGGTTTGAGGTGAGTAATGATTGTAAATGATGTCCCGAGGGTTTGAAACCCCGGATTTGCACAACGTAGTGCTATACTGAGTTGAGAGACACGTTGTATGATGAGCGTGGGGTCCAGTACAACTGGGGATTGTGACCTGGTCCATCCCGATTGATGATTTTACCGCGTTTTTAACTGAGGCTTGTTTATTATCAGTATGATTTGGGCTAGTTGCCAGGTTTGGGGCCTTGTGCCGACCTGTAGAACCCTTGGGGGATTTTGACTGATTTTCTTCACTTTACTTGCTAAAAACCATATCCTCAGTCATATTTCTAATTGTTTAAAACAATATGAACCGGTTTTTGAAATGCTAAACCTAAATGAAAGAAATATGTGGGGTGATATCCCTACCTTATATTATTGTGCCCGAGAGGCTGTGATTATAATGACTGAGAGGGGTTGAGAACCCAATAGTGAGGATGTTATATATGTTATCGATCGGGCTGCACGCCGCAAAAAATGCTTATACGGATCGGGCTGCACGCCACAACAAATATATATGTGGATCGGGCTGCGCGCCGCAGCAATATAACGCTTGGGCTGTAGGAGCCCCTCCTGGAGTTTGCACACCCTCAGTGAGTGCAGTCGACTACTTATATGGATCGGGCAGTGCGCCACAGCGATGTACGGATCGTGCTGCACGCCGCATCGGTCATTTTGATTTCGGTTATTGTGAAAGAGTATATGGATTGAGTGCTGAGGATAATTAATAATTAATGAATTGTAAGCTCGAGGAGCGGGTCTACACTTAATAAATACCTGATAAGCTACTCGTTTTACTGATTTAAAGAGATTTCACCTGATTTCTTCATTATCTTGCTTATTTAAGTTGTTTTACTGCTTTGATATAGAACTGCTTAGTGCCTTTACGTGATTTCATGCTGTCAGCCATTATTTATGATTATTACTCATTGGGTTGGAGTACTCATATTACTCCCTGCACCTTGCGTGCAGATCCAGGTGTTCCCGAGGCATAGTGGGAGCTTTTTTGCTGATAATCATCCACCGGAGTCATCGAGGTAGCTACATGGCGTCCGCAGACCCGATTTCTCCCTCTATCTTTTACTTTTCAGTATTCTAGACTATCTCTGTATTAGGCTGTTGAAATCTTTTAATAGAGGCTCTTGACTTGTGACACCGGATAGGTGGGCTATTGTAGAGATATTGTTATGGTTTCACTACAAAAAAAACAGTCAAATTGTGGCGGTTATTTTTACAAATTGCAGCGGTTCTGAACTCCCGCAATTTATTGTTGCAGCGGTTCACAAAACTGCTGCCAAAAAGTTCGCCGCAATCAATTTACTGGAGTTCCGCTGCGACCGCTGCCACAACTGCCGCAATTAATTAGTAGGAGTTATTTTGCGGCAGTTTAACCCCCGTAAATTGATTATTAAATTATAAAAAAATATATATTTTTTTACAAGTTCCGGCAGTCAGAACCCACGCAATTCGTTGAACATATTAATTTATTTTACTACATTTTATACGAATATTGAACTTTGAATATTATCTACTAATAAACCTGTCCACACCATAATCTAACCAAAAAGGATAATATATATCAACACTTATTAGAAATATCAACATATTTAGCATCACAAAAGTATTACTTTCATATATAAATGATGGGGCTACTACAAAAATGCTCAAAGCAGATTTAGCAATGTTTCTAGCTGCATATAGTAGCGTCAAACTAAATTTTAACATAAAACATTCACCCTAGCCATTCTAACATTCGCTCCAATCACATAATTACATTGTCATAATTAATTATCTAATTCAATTACAAAGAACTTCAATTGTTGTCACTTGGATTACTGCCATCAGATGATCTTCTTGCACCCATGGGTGATAGGGATCCACTAGCTGCATCTCTAGGCTGCAAACAAAATAAAACATCAGATGATTTCTTCAGAAGTGCAGTTGTCAAGCAAAACGAACGAGATTGCAGGACATTCATTTTGCGACATGTTTACTGCTCAAGCTCGCATATAGTTGTGGCGGTACATGTCCAAGATTTTTTTAGGACGAAAGCATGCAGGATTCAACATGGACTATAGAGAAATATAAAGGCAGCAGGGGCATTGCAGCAAAACAAGTGAGGTTGAATCCAGTGGACAGTGCATTTCACTTACTATTAGTCATCACCCCTGACCCCTGCGTCGTCGATGAGTTGAGAAATATGGATAAGATACATTATTTGGACATGTTCAACCAACTAATGGATGCACAATGTCCCTAGCTAGGAATGCCAGCAGCACAGAAATGTATGCTTGTGTAAAACATATTTGAAATTTCTTTCAACAGGACACTTCTTAGTTGGTCGGTTTCCTAACAAGTAGGAAAGAGACTAAACGTGAACAATTGTATAAAGATGATGGAGAGTGAAGTTTCATTCTCTAGCAACCAAAACAGTATTTGCAACTAGTGAACATTCAACAATTTTTACTTCTTTACAGTATATGCAACCAAAACAGTATTTGCAACCAAACAGTTTTTACTCAGTGTAGAGAAAATATTCATCACAACAGCTGCAACCAATTGGTTGAGGGAACAGTAAATGAATCCAAATACAAAAAAATTGATAGTTCAATAACCTATAAGATACTTCTTTACAGCCTTTAGGATATTCTTCAACATAATGTATGCATTGTCATCGAGAAAGGTGAAATACAGGAATAGCAATAATCTTGATGAATGTTTAGGTTAGCTCAGGAAACCAGATAAAAGGAAGGCACATAAGCACAGAACTAGAGAAAATGTGGTTTACTGTCATAAAAGGATGTGATAGCTCAATTTCAAGCATAAAAACTAATCATTAAAACAAAGTATATCTAAACTGACTCGGGAGCTTGAACTTTATGTTGTTTATACTTAGAATGAAGTTCCGGACACCTTGAAATTGCAAGGCAATTTACTCCAATAATGTTTCAGTCTAGAACAAAATAAAGATCTAATCTCTTGCGAGCTTAACTAAATAGTGCACTAACATTAGTAATAGAATAGTAGTAATCGCAAGTTTATTTACCGTTGTAGGAGGAGAAGCAAAGAACCCCGCAAATTGTTCTATCTCTTATAGCTCCATTATTAAATGCAAACTCTATAAATTAATTCAAACCAAGTAAATATTCTGGTGTGTGCCTCGGCATTCTAATCCAAGACTTATCCATTGAAAAAATAGATTAGTGTGAAACAATATCACCTACAAAATTTTCAAAGCTATAAGATTAGAGACATATTTAACACTTTATAAGACAACAAAAAGTAAAGGTAACCAACAAAAGTAATTAACAGAAGAAGTTGTGATATTATCCAGATGTATACATATCAAAATAAATAGTAAAGGAAGATATTTTACAACTAAATAAATAACAATGAAAAGAAGAAAAGAAAAATAAAAGAGAACTTTGACGGGGCCGGGCATGTCAATGCAGGGCAAGGGCCGCTAGGCAGGAAAAGTAGAGAAGATTGATCCTTCTGTTTTCCTTGTGTATGCAGAAGTAAAAATGCAGCAACAAGCAAAGTCTTTGAATTTTCTAGTTTCCTGGTATCATTTTTTCTTTCAAGAAGCAACTCAACTAGGACAGAATACAAATATTATCAAAGAACATGTAGATAGGTACTCTTGGACTACTTTAACATGTTCAGTTTCTACCATAAACTTTGCCAGAGAGACAAATTTTCATATTAGGATGACAGTCCAGTGATCAATCACACAAAGCAACAGATCAAGCTAGACAAAGATACTCTACAACTATAAGCGCACTAATACGATGGATAGGAAAATTGCTTACCTAGCTGGCAGTAGTATTATGATAGTGTCTAGTCATAAAAGTCACGTTCCGACAAAACCGGATGTAAAATAATCAAACACGATCGTGGCGTGGATCTCAGTGGCTTTTATAATTCCAAAAATTGTTCGAAACCGCTTTAGTTTCCTACCAATTTCAATTTTTCACCTACCAAAATCGCGCTTCTACTATTCTTAGCCTCTGTACATATATAGGGACTGAGTCATAGATCATCAACTCAACCACACATCCACAATTCTCTACAGTACAAGAAAACGAAAATGGCGAGTCTTAAAGTTCCAACTTCAGTACCAGAACCTTATGAAGATGCTGAGCAACTCAAAAAAAGCTTTTGCTGGTTTTTCTTTCTTTCTTTCTTTCTTTCTTTCTTTCTGTTAATCGTTTTGTCTCAGTTTGAATATATTCAGATCCCTATTGTTGTATGTGTCATTGGAATTTTAATCTTAGAACATGATCGTGGAAATTTTACTCATTTGCATTTGCTCTTTTTTTGATTGATCACTGAAACTCAGTTCTGACTTTGAGGTTGACATTACTTTTTTGATAACCATGAAGTTCACTTTTACTTTTCCTTAAAATAGGAGTGCCAAACAGGCTGGCAAGGAAAGCTTCTATTAATTAGGGGACGAGCTATTTTGATTAAACATGTTATTCAATCTCAACCATTAGATTTATTAGCTGCTATGGAACCACCTAAAATCATATTCAAGCAAATCGAAAAAGGTACTTTGCTAAATTTTTTTGAGGTTATGCTGATGGTAAACAAAGGTATCATTGGAGCTCTTAGTGCAACATGTGTTATTCTGTTGTCTTCTCTAAGCAAAAATTAGGCATACCAGTGCAGTAATTAAAGAAATAATGGAGAAAAAGCTAACCAAAACTGAAAAATACAGCGGCAAATCAATTTATTTTACTGAAAAACACAACGACAGAACATGAAAGAAGCGACAAAGTAGTAATGTGTTCTTAAAGTACAATTGAGGCAATAAAGCAGATTGCATGCCAGAAAATTCTAGGTTTATTGAGAAATCAAGCTAATAAATTGCATATAATCAACATAGAAACCCCAAATCAACAAAAAAACTCCAAATAAATAGAGAAACCTCAAATCCAACAGAGAATACCCAAAACAACACAAAAATAAACTGAAAGACAAAATACAAATACCTGGTTACACAAAATCGAAATTGGAGAAGATGAAAGACAAATTGCAAAGGAACTAAAGAACACCGTGGATTTTCTAGCCAAAAATCCACACTAGAACTGAAGAACACTGGTAATTTGGTGAGAAGGCATCGATTCACAGTCCACTTTGGTGAGAGAGAGAGAGAGAGAGAGAGAGAGAGAGAGAGTCAATCGCTTAGCGGAGAAAAAAATGTTTGATACAATTTGCGGAGACTGTAGAGAGAGAGTGAGAGAGACGCGCAAAAGGTTTAGGTTTTGGCGGAAAAAAAAAATGAGGGAAAATAAAAATATAGTGGGAAAAATTAAAGCTTGGCGCTCTTTTGCTTTTAGTGTATTAGGAGATCCCCAAATTACAATTAATTGCGTCAGTTATACATAAAGTCCCACAATTTGATACAATTTGCGGCAGTTGCCAGCGACCGCCGCTAATTAACTGCTGCAATTTGACTGTTTTTTTGTAGTGTTTCTGCACATTTTATCTACTGTTTCAGACTTCTGTTTATGCTGAATTGGTATCTAAACTCTGTTAATTGGTAATGAATTCTAATAAAGTGGGGTTGTGAGCGTTAATTGGTCGGGCTTGCCTAGCATTGTGTTGGGTGCCATTACGATCGGGGTTGGGGTCGTGACAAGTTGGTATCAGAGCCTAGGTTACATAGGTCTCGCGAGTCATGAGCCGGTTTAGTAGAGTCTCGCGGATCGGTACAGAGACGTCTGTATTTATCCTCTAGAGGCTGCAGAACCTTTAGGAAAACTTCATATTCTTGAAATTCTTGTCGTGCGACTTTGTTGATCCGAGAACTAAACTTCTGTTATTCTATTCTCTCGCAGATGGCGAGGACTCGCGCTATCGGACAAGGTGGACGACCACCAGTGCCACCCACTGAGGCCACCAGGGGCCGTGGACGCGGTCCTGGACGTGGCAGAGGCAGAGAAGTGAGGGCAACACCTGTTGATCCACCAGTTGCCCCAGCTCCGGATCAGGCTCCAGCAGTAGTACCAGTCCAAGCACCAGTAGTGCCCATCGTGATTCCGAGTCTACAGGAGACCTTGGCGCAGATCTTAACAGTTAGCACTGGCCTGGCTCAGGCAGTTACAGCCACCACAGCAGTAGCTACTTCATAGGCCGGGGAGGCAATCAGACCCCTGCTGTTTGTGCACCTGAGCAGATAGTACAGGGATTGCAAATACCGGGGGCACCTCCAGCTCAGCCGGTTGCACCAGCTTAGGAGTTTGTAGTACCACTTATGCCAGATGATGAGCAGCGCCGTCTTGAGAGGTTTGGTAGACTGCAACCTCCGTCATTCAGTGGTGCTGAGGGTGATGATGCCCAAGGTTTTCTTGACAAGTGTCAGCGAATGCTCCGTAAAGTAGGGATTTTTTAGACTAGTGGTGTGGTATTTACCACCTTTCAGTTTACTGGGGCTGCCTTCACTTGGTGGGAGGCGTAGGTCGGTTGGTGCAGCACCCCTTACTTGGCAGGAGTTCTCCACTCTCTTTTTGGAGAAGTATGTACCCCAGTCCCGCAGGGAGAAGCTGCGTAGGCAGTTTGAGTGGCTGAGGTAGGGAGATATGACTGTGTCACAGTATGAGGCGAGGTATTCTGAGTTGGCTCGTCATTCCGTCTAGATGGTTCCGCTCGATCGTGAGCGGATCAGGAGATTTGTTGATGGCCTTAACTGCCATCTCCGTATCTTGATGACTATAGAGAGAGTTTTGGGTGTTTAATTTGAGGAGGTGGTTTATATCGCTCGTGAGATTGAGACGGCTCACCGGCAGGATAGAGAGGAGAGGGAAGCCAAGAGGCCTCAAGGTTCTGGCAGTTTCAGTGGTGCTCCTTCGAGGGGCCAGTTCCAGCATGGTAGAGGTCGTTCTTTCAGGCCTACTCAGTCGGCCTGTCCAGAGTATCGTGGGGCATCTTCAGGTCGTGGTTATTAGGGGTCTCAGTAGGGCCAGTCATCACTCTGCGCTCTCCCAGCTCAGAGTTCATCTCGCGCCCTATCAGTCCAGGGTTCTTCCGTGGCAGGTCCTTCTACTGTTCATTCTAGTGCCAGGGGTTCCTTTCAGTCCCTACCTCCAGCACCGGGTTGTTGTTATGAGTGCAGAGAGTTTGGGCGTATGAAGAGGCAGTGTCCTCGACTTTATAATGGTCAGTACCAGTAGAGTGGTCAGCCCTCGACTTCTACTTCGCTTACTTCACCACCCGCCCAGCCAACTAGGGGTGGAGGTCAGGCAGCCAGGGGTCGCCCTAGAGGGGGAGGTCAATCAGGTGGTGGCCAGGCTCATTTCTATGCTATTCCAGGCAGGGCAGATGCCATTGCTTCAGATGCTGTCATTACAGGTATTGTTTCAGTCTTCCACAGAGATGCCTCTGTATTATTTGATCCCGGTTCCACCTATTCAGATGTGTCTTCATATTTTGCTTGTTATTTGGGTATACCCCGGGAGTCTCTTTCCTTACCTATTCACGTGTCTACCCCGGTGGACGATACAGTTGTTGTGGATCGTGTGTACCGGTCATGTGTTATGATTATTGGGGGTCTGGAGACCCGAGTTGATCTATTGCTATTGAGCATGCTGGACTTTGATGTTATTTTGGGCATGGTTTGGCTATCTCTGTGTCATGCTATTCTGGACTGTCATGCTAAGACAGTCACTTTGGCTATGCCGGGTGTACCGAGGATTGAGTGACGTGGTCTGATTGATTATGTTCCTAGTAGAGTGATTTCTTTCTTGGAAGCCTAGTGTATGGTTGGGAAGGGTTGTCTGTCATATCTATCTTTTGTGCGGGATGTTGGAGCTGAGACTCCTAGTATTGAATCTGTTCCAGTTGTGAGGGTTTTTCCTGATGTATTTCCTGCAGACCTGCCAGGCATGCCGCGGGACAGGGATATTGATTTTAGTATTGACCTACTGCCGGGCACTCAGCCCACTTCCATTCCGCCATATCGTATGGCACTATCAGAGTTGAAAGATTTGACGGAGCAGCTTCAGGAACTCCTAGATAAGGGGTTCATTCGGCCTAGTGTGTCACCGTGGGGTGCGCCGGTTCTGTTTGTGAAGAAAAGGATGGCATAATGAGAATGTGCATTGACTACATGCAATTGAACAAGGTAACGATTAAGGACAAATATCCCCTTCCTCGCATTGATGAGTTATTCGACCAACTTCAGGGAGCGAGGGTGTTCTCTAAGATTGATCTCCGTTCGGGTTATCACTAATTGAAGATCAGGGATTCAGATATTCCTAAGACTGCTTTCAGGACTAGATATGGTCACTATGAGTTTCTTGTCATGTCTTTCGGGCTGACCAATGCCCCAGCGACACTCATGCATCTGATGAACAATGTATTTTGGCCTTATCTGGATTGATTCGTTAGTGTATTCATTGATGCTATTCTGGTGTACTCGCGTAGTCAGGAGGATCACGCAGAGCATTTACAAGTTGTATTGCAGAGATTGAGGGAGGAGAAGCTTTATGCAAAGTTCTCCAAGTGTGAGTTTTGGCTCGGTTTAGTGGCTTTCTTGGGACACGTGGTGTCCAGCGAGGGTATTCAGGTTGATCCAAAGAAGATAGAGGCGGTGCAGAGTTGGCCTAGACCGTCCTCAGCCACAGAGATTCGTAGCTTTCTTGGGTTGGCAGGCTATTATCGCCGGTTTGTTCAGGGATTTTCATCCATTGCATCTCCCTTGACCAAGTTGACTCAGAAGGG